TTTATTTATTTTTATTTAATTTATTTATTTTTATTTAATTTATTTATTTGGGATTATACATATATACCCAAAGGTACATATACCCATATTATGTGATCTATAGTTCACTACAAAATTCAAGATCAGGTGCAACATTACATGATCAGAAAAATTCAAACCAAATATTTCGTTTTGACAAAAATTGCTTATTCACAAAAAACTGTATACTAAACCACCTTTTGTATATTAATAAAAAGTTTTTCTTGAGTGATTTTACTATATAATAGCCTAAACTCTAATTCTAACATAGTTATTACTCTAACTCTATTCTAAACAATATTAGTATTGCTAGTTTTGTATATAATATCATATGATCAAAATAATAGATATAAAAAAAATTTAATATACCCTATGGATATAACTATATTAATTCTATTTATTTTTATTTAATTTATAATTTATTTAATATTTGTAAAGATTAAAATTATAATAAAAGCTAAAAATTATAATATTATACAAATTATATATGTAAATATACATGAACTTTTACTGACATTGAAATCTTTGTAATGTTTCTTCTAAGGGAGTGTTTGATATCTCACAGATACAACTTAATTATCATTATTACAAGTATTCATTTTTAATTCTTGAACAAGTATTTTTTTTCTTTTTTTTTCTTTCTATATTGTAGTTTAATTTGTGACTCCAGGATTTCATAGTGCTATATTAGAATCAGATTACCTAATCAGAATTTGCATTATTAATAATTTTAAATTTAGAGTGAATCTATTTGTTACTGCTAGTAACATCCCCAAATTATATACAACCAATCAAATTATTATTTAACAAAAATACAAAATTTATTTAGTTTAAATCCAATCAATTAGTTCAGATTAGAGTTTGTAATCAGTTTTATTTTTTATATATTAAAGCTAATTAAAACCAGTTTTAATATATGAAAAATAAAATTAATTCCAAACTCTAGTTCAAATCTAATCAAAAGTAAGTAATTTTTAAAATATATTTTATAATTACAATATTATATCAAAAAAAAAAGAACACTTCAAACACCAAAGAAACACCATAAAATACCCGCCAAATGCCAAAAAAAATACTATATAAACATTGGAGAGACACTATACAAATATTAAAGAGAATTTGTACAAATACTACAAATGCAAAACAATAGTACAAATACTATACAAATATTACAAACATCATATATACTACAAGAATACTTTAGATTTATAAAAAAAGTATTAGTATCAAAAAAAAAAAGAACTGAAAATAAAAATAAAGAAAGAAATGAAAATGAAAATAAAAAAAAAAATTAGAGAAATATAATAACAAAAAAAAGAAAAAAAAGGAATTAAATTTATCTAACTCAAGATCAAGGTGTGCTAAGTTCATGTTTCTGGCAAACCTAAAGAAAAAAAGATAGTTAATTAAAAGAATGCATAAGAGCAAAAAAAAAAAAAAGGAGAAATAAAATACACAAAACCAAGATGAATTGCTGCTCTTAATGTGAACCACATTTTGACAAACCTAAAGAAAAAAATACATAAAACAAGAAAAAAAAAAAAAACAAAACATACTATTCAAGACCAAAATATCACTTGGTGCTACATTCCCAATATATATATCTAAAAAAAAAGAAAGAGTAAGTTAGTGAAAATACATAAAAAAAAAACAAAAACAAAGCATACTGAGAAGATCTACTGAAAAAAACACATAATACCAACTGAAAAAATAATGAGAATCCACTGAACATAATACCCACTGAAAGAACAACATAAGAATCACTGCAAGCCTGAGGTAAAACCTACTGAAAGAACAATGTAAAATCCACTAAAAGAATTGACATAAAACTTACCAAAAATACAAAGCAAACCTTTTGAAAGAGCATCAAAATCACCAGACGGTGTGAGACCGTCTGGAGCAGACACGTGCCTGTGATTTCGGGTATTTCCAAATATAGCCCACACGACCTGCGATTTCCCTGATAGCCCAGATCTAGAATATTGAGGAAATCTAGAAAATACGAACAATAGGGACAATTGCAGTAATAAGGCGGATATGAATAATACTGGCAATAGGGCTAATTTGGGTTTTATTGATAATTTTTAGTATATAGAGAATCCTTGCGAATATAAATAATAGAGTTAACCATTATAAATAAAGGCCTTCGGCCCTTGGGAAGAACAACAAGTTCCCACCTTTGCTTTTATTAAATCATGAACCAATAATAGTACATATAGATTTATCCCTAATTACTCTATAAACTGTGTACTGTACCTAATAAACTATGACCCTAGCATCCCAACCTAAAAAATTTCGCTACCAGAGTTAGGGTTTGGTTAGGGTTAGGGTTTGGGTATTTTTAGTTTAACTTTATGTTACACCTGATCTTAAATTTTAATTCAGCCCAATTGTGAAATTTTTTTAGGTTGGGGATGCCAGGGTTGTTCTAATAAACAGAAGCGGCTACTAAGTCGTTATTATAGTAGATAATTCTCGTTTTACCTAAATACTAAATACCTAAGTCATATAAATGTACCCTACTACTTGCCTACATTTATCCATTAACCACTCACCAAATCTAACACGCTTCCTTCGACGAAACGTAACCTACTTTTCGGTTACACGAAGCTAACTTTCGTCAAGCGACAGACTCGCCGATTTTTAGCGTTCACAACGGCACCAAAGATGACAACACCAAAGATGACAACCAAAAGACAACACCAAAAAACGAAAAAAAAATTTGAAATCTAAAAAAAAAATTATCATTTATTATTATCAATAGCGTTAACAGGAGTTTTTTTTTAGGACTTTTCGGCACACCGCACACACAATAGGTAAATCGGCATGGTGTTCACATGATCGGGGAATGTCACCGCCGGTGACAAGCACATTTTTTCTTAAATTTAAATTATTCTATATATTATTAAAATCAACTATCCTAATAGAATTAAAAATTTTAATTTTTTATGGAAATTAAAAAGTATATTCAATTTCTTATTACTAAATTTAATAAATTTTTTGTTATTTAATTATTTACAAAATATTATTTTGATTTTTTAAAAATTATGGACATTAAAATATTTAATTTAATGCTAAAGTAAATTTATTGTATAATCCAATTTTTATTTATTTTTAAAAGATAGTAACTATTATGTTTTTCTACGTCGTTACTACGATGCAGTTACTGCGTATAAAGATATTTAGGCTTCTGTAAAGTAATTTAAATTATAATTGTTTTATTAGAGATACATTCAAAAAAAAAAACCATTGTGTTAGAGAAAGATCTAATTGGAAATATATCATGTTTGAAAAATATCCCGTTGGAAATATAGTATGTCAGAAAAGAGCTGTCTAAGACATTTTATGTTGTGAAATATCCTATTAACAAAATGCATTATAGATAAAAAATATTATGTCGGCAGCATAATGTAATGGAATCAAAATTATTAAATTAACATTTTATAGCTATTCTCTTTTATTATGATATATGAAATCTATTTACCTTTATTTTTAATTCTAATCTCTGCTTAGATATTTTGTTCCTAGTTTTATACAGTAATCTAGTTTATTAAGATAAGCAATCCAAACAATTGTATATATTCAAAACCGGATTGACAAATAATAATAGTTTACAAGTAGTCAATAATAATTCACATTTATCGATTTGAAATTTGAATTTGTTGGATAAACATCAAAACAGATTATTAATTCAGTTAATCAGGCGTGTCAAGTCCTACTTTAAAGTATCCAAATTAAATTTTTATACAAATCTTTAATGAAAATGCGTATCGACCCATTTTTAGAGATTGAATTGATGAATTTGAAAAGTTTTCGGTATCAATAAATTTTTTTCTCAATATTAAATCTGGGTGTCTGTCGTAGAATCTTCCAGGTACTGACCATATTTTTCAAATTTAAACAATTCCAACCCCTAGATGTACGTAAATTATATACCAGATTTGAAAAATAATTTTCTTAGTTTGTACGATAGTTCTATTTTTTTAAAATCTTAATCTTCGCAGTAATAATTTAAACGAAGGTCTTAAAACTCATTTAGTCATATAATAGAACATAAGAGTTATTTTAGGGCTAATTTTTTTTTACAATATATAAAATTGAGGATGATTTTTTAAATTCTTTTAACTAGCAAGATTATGTTATTAAAGGTGAAGATTTGCTTTAAAACTTTTTTATTTAGTACGACAAAAAAAAAATTTAGAAGGTTATATGAGTCGGCAAACCCACCATATATCGCCACATTAAACTAAGAACAACACTCTTATTTACAACTACGAGGAATGGCCCAATTATCTAGAGACCTATGGACCGGCTGATTGGAGAGTTACCTCATATACCTGCTTATACGGGAAATAATATTGTACTGATTAAGTGATGATAGTTTATATCCATAATCTATGTTTCAGTGTTACTTTGCAAGTGATGTAAAGAATGTAATGTGTAAATGCCACAACCACAGGACATTAGTAATAATAATCCTCCCGTGATCTTGAATAGTGATCGGGGGATTATTATAATAAGTTGTCGGTAAAGCAGTAAATACTGACGAATTAGTGGGAAAGAAAAATTATTAATATAAAAAAAAAAATGTGACGAATGTTTAAGTGGCATAAGTAAAATAAAAATCATGATTTAAGGAAGAGAAATTTAATTATATAATCTTTACAACTTTACTTTATTATTCAAAACGTTGTACTTATAGATGATTTTAATCTCTTAAAATCATCGAAATTTAGACTGTAATTTGGTGTGTTCATTGGTTGATATATACATCTTTTATTACATTATTTATTGCACAACATGATGACAAATACAACCAAACAAACCAATAACATTGTAGTTTTGTATTATATAGACCACAGCAAATTATAATTTATTAACAACATAATATCGAGTTTTTGATTAAATAATAAATACATTGAAACTCTTATACGTAATATTTTTAAAGAAATCCTAATCATGATTAACTAATTAATCCTTAATTAGTCCCAAAAAACCCGTTTAATTCTCTCTAAAAAATCTTCTCTTTCTTTTTGACTTTTTTCTTTGTTAATTTTCTTAATAATAACTTGAAAACCTTTATGAATCAGTTCTATTTGCGGTTCATAACATTTAAGAAATGAATCAATTGCTATTTTTGCATTATTATATTCTTCTTCATACCGATCTAATTCATAATCATCAAAAATCATAATTCCATCTTCCTTTAAGAGATTCCACGCTAAAACGGCATCCGCTAATACATCATTAGCAGTATGTGATCCATCAATAAAAATAAAATCAAATTTAATCTTTGACTCATGATTTAATTTAATAAGCGCATCTGAAGATAAACACTTCATAACTTCGTTTTGTTTCTCTTTGCCCGTCATTTTAATATTTTCATGAAATGTTGCTTCATAATTTTTGACATCTAAAAATGTATCTTCAAAGGGATCGATCGATATCAATTTTGATTCAGGATTATTGAACAACTCTTCTAGAATCCAAGTTGTTGACCTTCCTTCAAAAGCTCCAATTTCTAGAACATTGATTTTTTTACTTTTAAGATGGGATAAACAATTTTCCCAATCAGGAATGAAGTACTTAAACCAATCATAGGTGAACTTGAATTTTCCCTTCTCTTTTGACATTTTTCTTGTCAACATCAAAAGTGATGCGAAAAGAATATAACTATAAACATGAAAATATTCAGTTTTATAATTTACCAACTCCACTTATGATTCGTAATAGAAAAGCAATTTTAACTTTATATGGATTAGTACAGATGCAAAATTGGGTGAATATGGCAAATATCCGGAGCAAAGAGAAGAATTTATTAAAGGATAATAAACTAAGTTCTTTGTGTTTCTATTAATTACTATTTTTAGATTGTTTTTATTCAATAATGACTATGGTGATTTAATTTTAGATGTTTAAAAATATCTGCTTTTCTAATTTCTATTTGAGGCACAAAGTAAATTAAGCCATAAAACACTATATTTGAATTACTGATTATTAATAAAATACAGATGCTAAAGCACAAGAACTCAAGCTGTATTGTATAATGATATGAATGGCCGAATATACTGTATATACAGTACTCTCATATAATATAGAAAAGGTGAAATACAATTCTAAAATGTATTTACTATAAGGTCTACATAAATATTTAGGACCTTCTGGTAAATCGGTAAGATACAATTTTTGCCTCTATGATAGTTTCGTAAGGCATAACCTATGTATAGTTAATGGTCAAGTAAAACCATGTTCAAATTACAAATAAAAAACCAAATAACCTTTAACACAACCAATTGGTATCTAGAAAATTGATAATAAAGTCTAAGTCCATAAATATTAACCAGTTATATACTTGCAGTTTACATTTTGGCTTTGATCAAAATAAATCAGCATTGTAAATCTTTTTAATGTATTGAGATAAGTTAGATGTGTTTAGTGATGGGAATTTCTAATTGTTAATTACGAATTGTTAACGATAAAAAATTAAAAATTAATTAATAATTTAAAAATAATTTCTCAGCAATTAATAAATGAATTATCCAATATGCATAGAACAGCATCGTAGAAAATGATCCGATCGATGATTTAATAAATCGTTGATTACATCAATGATTGTTTGTATTTATTTAGTATATTCAAGGGATAATTAATAAATGTGCATAAGAATATTTGATCTAAACAATTATATCGCTATTCATATGCAAAACTTACTGTTATCACCATCGGTGATAGAAGACTTTCGTTACTGTTGGCAGTTATAGGAGGTTTGTGGTGGTTTGCTATACTGTTAGTGTTATAGGAGGTTTGCCGTCACTGTTGGTGTATAGGTATACATGGGTGCCTAAATTATTTTTGAAAAATTGTATTTTCGGCAAACATTTCGGCATTGCTAAATTTTTTATATGAAACCCTTCGAAATAACTATATTATATGATGTATTTTGATGAAAGGTGTTCAAAAAATTTCGGCAATAATTTCGGCAGATATGAAAATTAATTTCGGCACTATATAAGAATAATTACGGCTGCCTAAATGCCGTAATTACTTTTTTATTAAGATGAGCAATTTAGGCACCCATGTATATGTATAGGAGGCTTATCGTTTACCGTCATAAGACGTGCTATAGGAGGTTTGTTACTACCGTTAATTTCTGGGTTTATCTGCTATTCTTCCCAGAAATACAGTATAAGCAAGGATATATAGGAGGTTTACCATCATAAGACGTGCTATAGGAGGTTTGTTACTACTGTTAATTTCTGGGTTTTATCTGCTATTCTTCCCAGAAATACAGTATAAGCAAGGATGTATAGGAGGTTTACCGTCATAAGACGTGCTATAAGAGGTTTGCTATCACTGTTAATTTATGGGTTTTATCTGTTATTCTTCCCAGAAATGTAAGGGTAAAGAAATAATTAGTAATCGTGCAATTTAGTTTTTTTTTTTTTTAGAACAAAAAAATAATGTAAATGTAATATGGGCTTTTATTGTATACTCCTGAAAAATATTTTATTAAAAGTATAACTGATTGTGCATTTATTTAATCGCTAATCACTATATATATCGCTAAATATTTCATCGCTTTGCTAAATATTTAATCACTTTGCCAAATATTTAATCGCTTCACTAAACATCCAATCGCTTCGCTAAACATTTAATCGCTTCGCTAAACATTTAATCGCTTCGCTAAATATTTAATCATTGTATTCGCTCACATAAAACAAAAAAAATATATATTCTGAACTTTCTAAATTAAAATGCCATTAAATTCTAAACGCGGCAGAAAACCAGGTCCTATTTGGGATCATTTTGAACGGGGAGACTTAATTAATTCGAAGCATTTTCAAGCAATATGTAGTTATTGCCGTGATCCAATATTGGGAGTTCCTGAAAGAATGCTTAATCATTTAAAAAATACTTGCAAAAAAATTAGAAAAGAAGTACAAGACACTTTAGACAATATTAAAATCAATAATAAAAAAAATACCCAAAACAAACGTGTTCGAGTTAATGCTTCTTCAGATGAAGAAGGTAATATCACCAATTCAAATCAAACTTCACCATTAAATAATAATCAAACTTCCCTATTAGATAATAATCGACTAATTCATCAACAATTATTAAGAGCTCTTATTTCGACGAATGTTCCATTTACCTTTGTAGAAAATGAAGAGGTTAAAAAATTATTCAAAATGCTACAACCTTCATATGCCTTACCATCACGAAAATGGATCAGTACAGAAATCTTAGATAATGTACACGACGAAGTAGAGATTGAAATTCAAAAATTCGTCGATGATTCTAAATTTTTAACTTTGTCAGGAGATGGATGGACAAATGTTTCAAAACGTAGTTTAGTTAATTTTATTATTACAAATGAAAACCGGCAAAGTCAAATTTGGAAAATTTCTGATTTTTCAAACCAACACCATACGGGTAATGTAATGTTTGATGCCTATAAAGAAGTAGGAATGTCGTTAGATAATAAGTGGATTGGATTTGTGTCAGATAGTGGTTCGAATATGGCAAAAGCACGACGAATGGTCGATCACGATTCTGAATTACAAGGAAAAATTATAACGATACCTTGTATGGCACATCAAACTAATTTATTAGTTAAAAAAATTATTAAATCCGAACAATTCGAACCTGTAATCTCAAAAATGCTTCTTATAATTAATCATTTTCGTAATTCAAATCGGGCTCTAGCTAAACTAAGAGAGTTAGAAAAAAATGAAAACTTAACTCCAAAATATCCTTGTATTACTAGATGGGCAACGTTTTCAAAAGCCACAGAGACTCTTTTATCAACTCGAAGCAGCATGCGAATTATAGCTATTACAGATTCAGATCTTTTAGCTATTAAAGGAAATAATCGTAATAAAATAATTAATACGATTGAAGATACAAGTTTTTGGACAAAACTTGATAAATTTTTCCATATATTAAAACCAGTGTTTTGAACCGTCAACCGAAAGTTCAACCGGGGCTGATCCGTCATAGGAAGACATTCGTTTGATTGGTTAATTTTCGTAGATCTACCCGTGATTACCCGTGATAATTAACCAATTAAATTACTGAATTACATTATTAATATTATATAGAAAACA